GGGGCAAATTAAAATATTGGATTTTACTTAATGACGGCAAGTGTGACACAGAAATTCGAAGGTGCAGTAATAAAATGGCAAAAAGTACGTTCTAGAAACTAAGCAAAATATTAAGACTTATTTCTTTAGAAACAAAGAACAGTGTGTCGAAGTACGACTTGATACATAGTAACTTTCTAAGCATAACTTAATTGTTTTTGTTTTGTTTTTTAAGCAATTCAGCACAAGTGTCACTAGTATACAAGTGGCTACAGAGAGTGTAAGTAACAGCTCGAGCTTCGCTTGGTATACATATTGAATTATGGCCGTAAGCACATCAGCGGTAGACCGGGCAAGATAGGTCAGAAGGGACTCCAGAATTCTTAAAGACCGGGACGACAGAGGAATACTTCCAACAGGCTGGAAAGCAAGAATCGACAAGGCAATAGTTGTTGAGTTTGGAAAGAACTGGAGCCAGGTCAGGGGCACATTAATTTACGACTACGGCTGGTATCCCGTCATTACCATTTGCTTTATGAGAGTATAATTTAGAGCTGATGTATAATACCATCGACGGGGTTATGCACATCTCACTCAGTATAGCCTCAAATCTCTGGGGAAAATCAAGCATGGGTACTCCGGATGAGTCGTGTGTTGGATGAGAATTTCCGAGCAAAGCACTCAGTCTTATCAGCTGAGGATGTTAGGGCTTCAAATTGATTGAACAGAGGAAGGATTGTGGATTTGCTGTAATTCAACAGACACTTGCAGAGCCGCCAATAATCTTTAGAACCAAACTTGCGAGATACAATACGTTGTTTCAACCTATCAACAACTATCAGTAACTTTGATTCATTGAGGACACGCTTGCACTCATTACGAGCAGAGACAGAGACATCTATTGAAATCAAACATGTCACTCCGGTGCAGGTGGCACAAGGCCAAGATTAAGGAGCACCCAGAGAGGATCGAACTCACTACTCAGTCGGAATTAGATCTAGCGAGATAAGCTTATTAACCATTACACCAAGTCGAAGTGCTCAGTGATTTACTAAGCGTAGCTTAGATGAGACACAAAGTCACCGAAAGTGTGAGGTGCTCAGTGAGGATCGAACTCACTACTCAGTTGTAATAGATCTAGCAACAACAAGCTTGTTAACCATTACACCACTTCGAATTGGCCAAAATATATGGATTTTCTAAGGATAGCTTAGATGTGGCACAAGGCCGAAAGTATGGAGTACCCAATAAGGATCGAACTCACTCCTCAGTCGTAATTGGTCTAACGAGACATGCTTGTTAACCATTATACCACGTCGAGGTGCCCCTGCTGTCATATATATCCTACTGTATGGCAGGTGGAGTAATGGATAGCGTGCTAATACCTTTGGGGAAGGTATGTCTCCATCTTTTCTATCCCAAATTCAGTCCTATAGCCTTGAGTGGCAACCGGTCGATGAGAAGGAAAAACCTGAATACAAAACCTCAGTTGTACAGATTGAGGGAAACCCACACCATATTCTGTGGTTTTCGGTTGTCGGTGATGATGGAGAGGAGAGGAGCGCCGGCAAGTCCACTGAAAGGATTATGAGGAAGAAGAATCGACATTTCTTCTGCCCGCAGGTATCCACCCCCGACGATTGAAGTAGTCGTGGGATTGGTGATGATGATGATGATGATGATGATGATGGCAGTGAATGTTGGACAGTTTTCTAATGGATGAAGAAGTGACTCGAAGTGATGTGCTTTTAAAGACGGATTCTGAGAACGCCATCAATAGAAGATATAAGTGTGGGGAAGTTCTAAAAAAATGGGTTCTAGAAAGAAATTTGAAATCAGAAAAAGAGTTGAAAATTCTGGCGCCCAATAAACATATTCATATAAATAAAATAGTGCAATATGCGCACGCGCAAGGAACATAACAGACTGAACAAAAGAAAGAAATACAAATGTACATACAGAAAAGGAAATAGAGTTTGGATGAAAAACAAATTTAAACATTTAAATGATATTTTTTTTATAAAAAGATGAACGTTTCTCTCTCTCTCTCTCTCTCTCTCTCTCTCTCTCTCTCTCTCTCTCTGTGTGTGTGTGTGTGTGTATGTGTGTGTTTATGGACGTATATTTCTATGTTTAAATATATCGCTCTATAAAATCTGTTGCCAAGATGGACACGAAGCTCTTTTCCAATCGTCGTTTACTTCTCTCACCCAGACATTTTTCTGACAGCTGAGATCAATGTTCAAGTTAACAGGGTCACGCTATTTTGTTCACCTTTCCTCATATCATCTCTAATATGCGACATAAAAATGCTAAGAAAGGATATTATTTTGGAAGAACTCGTGTTTTTTATGGCACACATTCAAGACTTTAAGATATTTTTATTGTTGCTATTACAAAGGGTCACGGCCACATTCGACTCGGAAAAGATTTACTTTAATGAAAAACGAAATACTCCCGTTTCAGTCAGTGACCGTAAAACGATGGCAATATTGGCTACACTATCATCGCTCAACTCCTGTAAGTACTTCCACAGTGTGTATATAATAAATAAAAAGCCATTACATAGATTTACCATCCATTTTGGTTGATAACAAGATTAGAATTGAACAGAGTAATATATATTCATTTGATATGGAATCAAAAAATACGTTCAGTTTATTATTTTTATTTCATTTTCAGAAATAAATACATTGAATAATATATTTAGGTTTTATGTTACTATTATCGTTTAACAAATCCCCCCCCCCAGAACTTTTCATCTTTCTCGGCAAATAACTGGTCTTTTTAGTCTTCTAAGGTATGGATTTTTTTTCTTAAAGGCAATTCCGTAAAAACTGAAATAAATATTATTCTGATGTTGCAATATCTGCAGAATTGAGCCGGTAAATGACAATTTTTGCATGCAAACTTGAGAAACTTGCAGTTTAGTGTTGAAATTGTGTAATATTATACAATTTCTTTTAAAACAATTCTGGACATTTTTGTCGATGTTTGCATTCTCTTGGCCTAATTTGAAAACAATAGCTTAGTTATTTCAAAGTATCTCATATTCACATAGGCACTCTAATTTATTTCCGCCTTTTTCCACAGATCTTCCGAATTTGAGTGGGTAAACGGGGTTATTATTATTTCGTACACATCACAAGATCATTAAGCAAATATATGCCAACTTCGACAAAATTTAAAAAGTGCAGACTTATATGATAGCTGCCACAATCAAATATGATATTAATATAAATCAACGAGGAAATAAACACATATCTTCCACAATATGATATAAATAAAAAAAAACAATTTTTCAAATTAAATGATTAACTAAACACTTCTGATGTCATGTAAAAAATTATTACTGTCTGAATTTCCCGGATGAGGAGTTATCACTTGTCATACTATTTATATGCGGAATATTGTCCTCGTCTATGTTGTTAATAATAACGACAAAGATTAAGACAACAGTCAGCATGTAAAAAGTATAAATAAAAAATGTTTACCTAATATTTTACTAATTTCTATACAGACATGCTACCGATTTTGTATGAGGGCTGAGCACCTATTTTAATCTGGACAAAAATACGATCAAGGATTTGAATTTGGTCGCTGGGGGATTTATCAAACTAATTCACCGGGCAACTAAAGGTGGAGTTGTTTGTAGTACGAGTTTTATATAAGAGTTTCTGACGCTCGAAGATGATTTGGATACTAGAGATACACCATTATTTGGTTAGAAGTGTATTTTTAATTGTTTTAACGTTATTTCTATTGATCCGGCAAAATTGATAATCTGGTACGATTCTGGGACCAATGATGCCAGAAAATTTGTAACATTTCTGTACTATTTTAAAACATTACATAACCCTAATTTCATTTCTAAGGAAATAAGGCTTTGGTTAATGCAATCAAATGCTGTTAGATTTCGAATGTACTTTAATTCTTACTTATTACTTTCTCAAGTAAAATCTTTGAATATTTATATTTATAACTTTAACGAGTAACAACTTCGTTAACTGTAAGAATGAATCGGAAATGTATTTATTCTATTCAGGTTTTCATTTTTTTTTCGTCTTACGCGTTGTTTATCAAATAAGCGAGTTTTAAATTTAAAGTGCTGCCCTTTCAATGCTTTCTCTCTGATTGGAACACGTGATTTTGAGCCCAAATGTGACATGTTCCATTTCAGATCCTAATGGTAATATAAGGAACTATTTGGTATTCACTGACCGAACAGCCAATACTGCTATCAGTGGAAATTTATAAAATCTTTTTTTTTTTTAAATCCTTTTCAGGAAAACAGGTTTCTCAAAATCAGTAGCTGTTATCATTCTTTCCATTTCCTAACCTTTTATTTGAAGCAGTGTGAAATGTCAACATCTTGATCATGTCATTATTTTCACTTCGAGTTACATGTGCTATCCATTTTAGTTGTTGCTGTTGTTGGTAGTCCTCAGGTGATGTGGTTTCTGTTATTTGGTACAGTTCTTTGTTTGTAAGTCTGTAGCGCCAGTTCATAATATTCAAAGAAGGATTGATCTTTGCCAAGATTCTTAGGCTTCCCTCGCTCAAAGACTTTTTCACTATTGATCATAGGAAGCGCTTGTATACAGCTGACAGTTTAGATAGTTCTGAACGGGTTTGGTGCCATGAATGACATTCATATAACAGTCCGAATCTGACGAGGCTATTTAAGAACATGACACGAATTTTCAGGTTGATGTTTTGGTTTCGTAGCAATTTGTGATGTTGGTCGAAACTACATCTGGCACAGCCTATTCTCTGTTCAATTTTATTATCTCCTATACTAAATTTGTCATAACTGATCCATACGCCAAGGATTAGGATAAACAAATCGTGTTGTTGCTTGTACTTTGTTTGCTGTAGAGCAATTCCATTCCATTATGGCGAGTCGGCATCTGCTATCCAGATGTTCAGCTTATTCTAAACCTGGAAGTAAATGACCACAACGCAGTTCACACAGAATTAGATTACATGAATGAATGGGTTTGATAAACAAACTTCTTCAAATGCCTGAAGAGACCTTTTCTCAATCACCCACTAACATCTCTCTCTTTCTGTCTCTAATCTCTCATTCTCTCCCCTTTTATTATCCTTTTCTCTCTCTCTCTTTCTCTAACCTTCCTATCTATCCATCTACTCTCTCTCCTGCTCTTTTGATATCTTTTTCAATTCTCTCTGCTCTCTTTCTATCTCTCTCAACTCTCTTTCTTCCCCCCTCTCTCTCTGCTTTCTTGCTATCTCTCTCTCTCTACTCTCTTGTTATCACTCTCTCTTCTCTTTCTTTATCTCTCTCTGCTTTCTTTTTATCTCTCTCTCTCTCTCTCTACTCTCTTGTTATCATTCTCTTTCTTTCTCACCTTTCTCTCTGCTCTCTTGCCATCTCTACTCTCATTTTCTCTCTCCCCTCTCTTTCTCCCTCCCTCCTTTCGTTTTTATTTGCTCTTTTCCTTTCCCCTTTTAATCCCTCCTTTCTCTATCTCTCGCTGCTTTCTCTTTTTTTCTCACTGCTCTTTTTCTTTCTGCTCTCTCACTCGCTCTCTCTCTGCATTCTCTTTTCTCTTCCTCATTCTTTTTTTTCTCTCTTTCTCACTCCCTTTCTTTGCGCTCAATCCCTAAACGAATACTTTTACATTGCTTTTGATATTGAGATGTTAAATCAAGCGATCACTTTTACCACTTAATTACAGAAACATGGTTGCCGGTCGTGGACAGCAGGTGAATGAGTAAGTTAAGGTATACTTCAAATTTTTACATTTCCCGATCTAATAGTACATTTTTATTTTACTCATTTTTCCGTACTCTTCACACTTCCTTTGTCTTTCCTTTTCCCGCACCTCGCCTATTTCGCCATCATCATCGTCATCATCGTCATCGTCGTCATCATCATCATCATCATCATCATCATCATCATCATCAATGTCGTGTTCCTCGCAAGCAGCTGCATTATTACGTTATAACACCAACTGAAGTGTAGAAAAATTTACCCACCATCACCATCTAGTGCTTGCTATTCAATAGGAAATCACTAAAGAATGAACACTAGCAGTTAACTGCAAGAAGGTAGGGAGGAAATGTTCCTTTGGTCTTCATTTTTCATTTCTTTCTTTCTATTTTTCCTTTTTTTTTTTTTTTTTTTTTTTTCTTACGTTCCCGCTAGATGAATGTAAGATTTGTTGGGATTTGGAAATTGGTGTTTAGACCGAGGCTGCAACATCAACTAAATCCTTCTATCAGACCGGAAATAGGTTTATTCTCAGAAGAGCAATCTCTGATTTGTCTCCGCTGATTTTGATGCGGAAGGCGCTGAACATCTCGTAATGTAGCATTTTATGGCTGTCTAAAACTCAGGAGGATAGAAACACAGGGAAGCCATATTGACTGAAGCTTTGATTCATATACTTAACCTCTTGAATACTGAATAGAATAAACCTGACCACAGTCGGTAAACAAATTTTATGTACGACATGATCGATATAAACAAAATTAAAGGCTTCTCTCTTTTCTGTTATTTTGTTGCTTTGTAATCTCTGTGCGCACGTCGACTTTAAAAACAAACAACATGATTAACTTTCACTCGCAATGGAAAGTGTTAAACACAAGGGCAGCTGAGAAAGTTCACCAAGATTCTTGGGAGAATAGTGATTTGCTAAGTGTATATTAGACGTGGCACATGGCCGAAATTATGGAGCACCCAGTGAGGACTAAACTCACAATACAGTCGTAGTTGATCTAGCGAGACACATTTACTAACCATTACCCCACGTATGACCTGGGAGAATGGCGGCATTTATCACGAACACAATTACTTTTTTATATGAACAAAATAATTTTTATTTCTTTTTTTTCTATGAATTTAAGCACACGTTCAATAATTTCCAAGCACTGTCTGCAATTTCGAACCTTGATTTTCAAGTTAGTCAAATTCCAGCCTGAATTTCTGGAGTGAGTTATGATTATCTACACTATTTAAATTCGGACCAGTGTCTTCATTTTTATTGTTATTATCGCAACATTTCGGCCGATGTCTTCTCCGGCCTTCATCAGGTGTAGATCGATCTGGGTAACTTACAGGGAATTCTGAACTAAACCTTTTATTTAATCTACGGAGATAGATTTTCTCGTTCCATTGCCCATGTCCGAGTCAACAGCCTAGTAGACTAAATCGTTGGCTCGTGAATTTGATGACATAGTAATTGTGAGTTCAATCCCTGGGCCGAGCAGCGTGTACTTGGTCTCAGTGTAAGCGGTCGAGCAATAACTGAGCAGTACTAAAAATAAAAACTAGACGAGGCAGTGGAAAGGGAACAGTCAACCCTCGTAGATTAAATAAAGGGTTTCGTTCAGAATTCCCTGTATAATACCCACGATTCTTGGGAGAATAGCGATTTGCTAAGCGTATATTAGATGTGGCACAAAGCCGAAAATATGAAACTCAGTCGTAATTGATCTAGCGAAATAAGTTTACCAACCATTACCCCACGTCGGAGTGCCCTGTCCTGGGAGAATAACTGACTTTATCACGAACACAGATACTTTTATATAAACAAAATAATTTTTTTTTCTTTCTTTCTTTCTTTCTTTCTTTCTTTCTTTCTATGAATTTAAAAACACGTTCAATAATTTCCAAGCGCTGTCTGAAGACGGAAAAATACTGCATTTGCGAATGTATATTTTCAAGTATTCATACATTCATTGTGTGTGTGTCATTTTCAGAGCAAATCATTTTGTAAGGCCTCACTTAATGGTCTCTGTTTCGCTGATATGTCTTTATTGAACTAAGAAAATATCTATACGCATGTTTACCTTATTAAAGTAGTAGCCGTTGTTTCAAGAAAAACATTGAATATATTTTTTTATGAAGGCCGGAGTTGCAATGGCCGAAACCTTGTAATGATAACAACAAAAATAAGGACATTAGTCTTTTGTTAGAATATCGAATCTAACTCATCTCTCAAATCTCAGTAGTTTTTATATTGAAGTATTTATAAAATGTGATACTCACAAATCTCCATATCATATCTGTAGCTTTCTTATGTCTCTACACCCCTTTTCCGTTTACTAACCACTAAACATGCATGTACATTTTTAATTCAAAGTTGTCTTCTTCCCAGACTAGATGCCAGTCAAGGCTAGATAGACCAGTCTTCTTTGCTACTCTTTACCCATAGACAGAAGAGATCTTCATTGATCGCTGAAAAATATTAGTGGTTCGGCAGGAAATTGAACTCAAGTCGCAATTTTCAATTGCCGCGCTGATAAAAGCACGTATGCTATATTATCCGAACACATATGCACTTTTAAATGCATAGCTATACTTATTCGTTTATATACATTAATCTTTGATAGTGCGTTTATATATACACACATGCAAGCATATATAAATGCACATATAAATATATGCACAAACGCGCGCGAACACACACATGCGCACACACGCACGCACACACACATACACACACACATATATATATATATGATAAAACATATAGCTTTAATGCATGCTATATACATGGGTAAAAGTGCTCGGTATCAGGAATAGAGCGTATGTAAATATAAATAGATATATAAAAACAGACACTGAGATCAATATTGAGTGGCTGTAGTTACATGCTTGAACGCATTCTTCATGACCAGAAGATTGCATTTAAGCATGAAGCAAACTGTCACTATGAAGTGTTGATCTCAGTGTCTACACACACACACACACACACACACACACACACACACTACACACACACACTACACACACACACACACATATATATATATATATAGAGATAGATAGATAGATAGATAGATAGATAGATAGATAGATAATGAAACAAGATGCATTGTATTAAATTCAACAGAAAAGGTTCTTTTTTAATTTTTTTTTTTTTTACTGCATTTTTCCAATTGTCCATTAAATTATTACACATCAGGATCAAAATTGTGAATAAATTATCCAAAGTTCATGTTTTTTTCCTTTTAAATATTTTCGACCATCTTGGTCAATACCAGGAACTAAATGTTTTCATTATCGCAGACAAAAGTTTTCTTAGTTACATCCTGGTAACTATTTTCACCACCATTGCCTTCATCTCCACTCATAGAGTGATTTTCCAAGCATTGCTTAGATGTGGCACAAGGCCGAAAGTAGGCGGTACCCAGTGAGGATCGAACTCCTTAGTCGTAAAAGTTCTAGCGAGACAAGCTTGCTAACCACTACACCGGCTCGAGGTGCCCTCATCTCCACTAATATATGCTAAAAATGTTAAAGTCAATTATCACTAACATATTTAACATGACAGACCATTCGCTAAAAATCCACATACTTTAATGGATACGACACATTTTATAGAAGATAGCATTTACGCAACATTAATCAAGAACATTTCACATTTCTAAGATTATCACTTGTGATTTTAATTTTCATTTAATTGATATACATATAAACTTGGAAATTTGATGATTTTTATTTTTCAAATCAGTCACAGAAATACTGGCCAGTAATTTTTTTTCTCCTCAAATAGCCAGTACTTTAATAAGCTTAACATGCGTATAGGTATTTGATTACTTCAATAAAGATATACCAAAGAAAAAGGGTAAGCTTTACAAAATAATTTGCTCTAAAAATGAGACACATAAAGAACGTATGAATATTTGAATTAGATGAGAAAAATTAAGAAACAGTATTATCTGTGGAGGTACGGCGTAGTAATGGATTGAGGAATCGGAGAGCCGAGTTCGAATTCGTGTCAAATCCGTTATTTTCACTTACGTGCTAATCCCCATGGGAAAGGTATGAATCCTCTTTTTCTCCGCCCCACAGTAGCACGACATATCGGGATCTATAGCTTTGAATAGCAAATGCTTATCGCAGAAAGAAATGGTAACCTACTGCGGGAAAAAATCTAAGCGTGTATCACAAAAATCTAAGCGTGTATCACATATGGTACATAACTGACTGATTATCTGCAGAAAATAAACTATAACAAAATATATTATTGTCAGTGCTTAATAGTGTTTTGATGTGGAAAATTTTAATCCACAGAAATGATTTAAAATGGTATTTTTAAGAACGGCCTGTTTTCAAAGATGGCTTTTTTTTAGTCTTGCAATATGACACTGTTTACGTAGTCTAGTGCATTAAATATTTGATTCATTTCAGATTAAGCATCAATACGGTCGTACTGACGAGATTAGAAATATCTTTATGTCTGCAGGCTTATAAGAAGCGGCAAAATAATTGCCTTTTTTCACTATAAATATTCTTCTTAAAATGATCAAAACGGAACCGTTGTTTTCTTTCTTCATCACAGAAATTCACGAATACAAACACACTTTCTGTTCCTTCCCATTTTGGTATCTTTTCCCGACGTATTTTATTATCGCCCACACTTAAATAAAACACATTTCTTTACCTTCGCTTTTTTTTTTATCTTTCTCTCTTATACTTTTCGAATGGAATGTTTTCTTTTTTTTTTCTTGCAATATTTCTTTTCTCGCTCAAAGAAAAACAAAAACAACAAAAAACGCGTTTGTGGATCTGTACGTACGCGCACACAGAGAGAAACAATCAATTTAAGCCATGGCTCCTTGTTTCTTGAGATTTTCATGTCAAGAACAACATTTCTGATTGGCGAATTGTATTTAAATTAATTTCACTTTTACTTTCATTTTATCTACTTTTATACTTTGA